CATCGTGGCTGCAGTGGTTGCAGAAATTTGTTTGGGGGTACAAATGATGTGTGACATAAAAGCCTAATTTATTTTATTTTTTTGTTTTAATCTTGTAGGACACACCACCCAGGAATTCAGCCCCTACCCCGACTATTGTGCGTCCAGGTTCCCTCCCACTACATTTGGGCTTTGATGCTCTTCAGCCCACCATGCCATCACCCACTTCCGTCATCACACAGGCTCCACCCTCAAATCGTACTTTGGGGTAAGTTAAGTTCCAAATCCTTTGGTTGGTCTTTGCTAACCTCTTTAAGCTTAATCTTCAACTTAAAATAAATTCTAGCTTAAAAAACACGTTTTGCAAACAATGTGACAACATCTCATGTTCTTGCAAGTGAACCTTTAATATCAAAGATGGCATCATGTTCTTTCTTTTTTCTTTTCTTCTTTTTTTGTGGTCCCGACGGGTCAGCCACAGTCAAAAACAACCAAAAGCTGTGCTCTACTGACAAAAAATTATGCCAGTTTTGATCTTGTGAAATAGGATGTGAAGTTTTGCGAAGTATTCATGATTAATAAGAAAGATACACAGCTTTAAAGGGAACTATTGAATTAGTTTTTCCTGTTACAGACACTATAAAATAGGTGTTAGGATTACCAGCTGTTGCAGTTTTCCTGTTAACACAAAATTCTTTATTTTCATATACAGATGTATGTAAAGTAACACAGCAGCAATTTAGATGTTATCTTGGGGTAATGGAAAAGATGATCATGGTTCACATCAAATCTGTAACATTTCACTGAAAACAAGTACACGTTAATAAGAGAAAGTTTATAGCATATCAGTTTATTTGCATTCTAAACTCATGCATTTTATTATTGGGTATAACTTATCAAAATGTTTCTCATTTATGGACATTAATGTGTTGCATAAAAGCCCAACGATGTGTAGTACGTCAATTACTGTACGGGAAACTACAGCCTGCAATATGCTGCACAAAACTCAGCCCATGGACCTGTAACATGATTCTTCCTTATGTCTGCAGCAATATTATATGCATAGGATTTATAACCATTATAAATAATAAAATATGATAAAGTAATGTTTATATTTGCTGTTGAATCAGTCAAGTTAAGCACGGACGCTGCACGGTGTTTCAGACAAAAGTCGACAACTTAACACATTTGTGAAAATAGCTGCAGAGAGCTTGTCACACTCAAGGTTTTGAAGGAAGTCATAATATAAATATTAACTTTTTATCTTTTTTTGGACATGTAAAATGTGAAACAGCATTAAACTGGTTAAAAACTGGTATTATGCATATATGTTAAATCATAATTTGGAGTGTTTGCATTCAGATAAATGTATATTTGACAGAATTGGATATTTAAGCTAAGATCAAACAATTTCACGTCATTAATATCAGAACTAATATAGTCTTTTTTTCCCCATTTTGATGTTTTGTTTTTCATTCAGTTTAGTTTCAGTTGTTTCCACTCTGGGTTTTCTTGTCTCAGTTTTGTTTCTATTGTTTGAAAATGTTTAGTTTTAGTCGAGTTTGTATTATTTTCCATTTTTTAGTAGATGGATCGATAAATATAATAATAACACAAAACTATAGAAAGTCTCAGTAAACATGACCGTCATTGCCTTATCAGGGAGGTTGTAATAGTTTTGTTTTTTGGCCAAACTAGCAAACAGTAAAATTATGTTTTAAGTTGAGCTTAATTTAAATATTCATATTTATTTTTCAAGTGTTGTTTTCATTTTTATTTAACTATCTAAAATGTGTTTTCCACACTGGTTTTAGTTTTTAGTTTAGTTTTTAGCAAGTCACAATAACCTTGATCAAGAACAACTCAAATAAAATTGTATTTTTTACTGGATTATAATATTGTGTTACACACATCAACCCAAGTTTGTCATTTGATTGTGGCTGACCCTGAGAGGAACAAAATACAGTTTAGTTCATGAATCTATGAAATATTTTCTCATCATTAAGCGATGGACTGCATGTTCGATTTCCTAAAAAACATAATTTAAAATTCATTAACAAACACAAGAGTGAATCTCCTGTTCTTATTTGTCCTCTGCTGTCTGTCTCTCCAGTTCACCGACGAGCCATTACCCTATGATGATGCTTCCCTCTGGTCAGGCAGTGCCTGTGCTGCCTGGTCCTGTTCAGATGCCTTCTGTCATTAATGTAAGGCAGACTAACAGTCTAAGTATGTTGTAACTTTACTTTATAACTTAGAAGTTGGTTCAGTTTTAACCCATGCATTTGTGTCTCATATTTGATCACCAGCTGGCTCGACCCATGTGCATGGTACCCAACATTCCTGGGATCCCTGGTCCTCCTCTGGGAGGCAGCAGCAGCGGCTCCAACTCCCCCTCTGGCTACAGCATCCACTCAGAGGCCAAGATGGTCAGCACTAGATTAGCTCTCTATTTTTATCTATTTATCTGTTCTTTTTCTCTCCATCTTCACCCTCCAGCCTTCCGCTGCACAGGCTTAGGTCCTTCGTCATATGATCTTTTACTGTGGTTGCTTGTTTATGTAACCCTTTCACCTGACAACACAGTTTGCAATCATTTTATGATAGTGCAATGCACACACACAGATTCATGCACAGTTTCCACCTTGCAGCTATGTCCCAGATGAAACAGAGAGTGCAGTCATTGTTTATGGTATTTAAAACATATAAAGTATCCCCTTTAGCACATTCCTCTGTTTACCCTAGCCCCTCACTCCTTCAGTCGTAAGAAGATGATCATCGGTGTAATTAAAGATAAACTTTTGTTTGGGTTTTTTGTTTTTATTTGGGGTTGGGGGGGGGTTTCGGGCTGATGTGCAGAATCTTTTTGTTCATGGCGCTTCTAATACAATATGATCATTGTCGAGGTTGCTGTGTGTATATATATATATAACATTTGACTGCTCGTGTACCTTCAGGGCTGCAGTCATATCTTTTTTTATCATCACGGCTGAATTAGTCACAACTTAAATCAAACATGATCAAAATCCAGCAAATGATCCAAGAACTGCTGCAGGAGCATATAAAGCCTCCAGATCTGACTGAGGGAGGTCACATGAATCTGTTGCTGAAAACAGTTCAGAGAGACCACATCAGTAAATGTTCTCCTCGGAGAGAATCAGGCTTCTCCATGTTTTAAACAACTTTAAAACATGACAAAAATTGGTAACTAAGGTCTTGTCCAGGCTGTTATTGCAAAGTGTGAATCAGTTAATGTAGATGCAGAACAGTGAAGTTGTATACATGCTGTTGGCACTGATTCAGACACGCTTTGATTATGACTTGTGGATTTCTACAAAGTTACAATGAAGTTTTTCATGATTTTTTTTAAATCCCTGTGGCTGTTATTGATGTTGCTTATTTGACTGTTGTTCTGTAGCGTCTGAAGGCTGCGCTGCAAAGCCCGTCAGGACAGAGTATGGGGATCATGGCCATGGGCAGCAGCCCCATGGTACCTCAGAAGGCAGAGCAGAGTCAGCTGCTTGTCCAGCAGCCAGACGCACCATCACCTGCACAACCTCAGGTACTCAATGTTAAGTATAAATTCCTGACTGTAACATGTTTTTTTCATCCATACAAAATATGCTTTAAACTTGGATTAAAGATGATCACATCTAAGTCATCTAAGCTTTCTTTATTATATATCACATCACTTGTTGTAGTTAACAGAAAATTGGGGATGTTCTTGTTTTGCCAAGCTGACTCTGGTGTGTGCTGGCTAAAATGAAACTGTGACTCATACTTCCCTTTTCTCGTCTTTCTTCCACTCATCTCGTCTGTCTGTGCGTTTCCTTCTGACCTTTACCCTGCTTCTCCAGGTATCTCCAGCACAGCCTACAGGTGGGCGTCGACGGCGGACGACAGACGATGACCCCGACGAACGAAGGCAGCGTTTCCTCGAGAGGAACCGGGCGGCAGCATCCCGTTGCAGACAGAAACGCAAACTGTGGGTCAGCTCCCTAGAGAAGAAAGCCGAGGAGCTCAGCACTTTGAACGTCTCACTGTCGGTGAGTGGGCCTCCAGTGGGTGGATGCTGCTGATGGGGCTTCTAACTACTTGTAAAAGTTTGAGAGGTGGATTCCAGATAAGATAAATGAGTTTGCATTAGTATTGAGTAAATTCTTTTTGCAAATGAACATAGCTGATAGATTTGAAACAATGGAAACCACTACATCTTGTTTCATATCTTTATTTTGTCAAATGGAAATTTTAGGTAATATTTACACCTTACGCCTTGTGGGAAATGTACGCTGCTCTGCAGTGGAAGCAAAACCATTTCAACTTTTTTTTTTCTACCGGAAAATCCATTAGGGAAGAAAAATATGAGAAGTCTGTATTTTAAATTACATAACGAAGCATTACATTTTTTCCTTATTGGTTTGGGAAGTGTAATGTAATTTCTGAAATGTAGTATTGTAGTACTAATCAGTCTGATTTCTTATTTTTTCTTCCATCCTCTCAGAATGAAGTGTCTCTGCTGCGTAATGAGGTGGCTCATTTAAAGCAGCTGCTGCTGGCCCACAAGGACTGTCCTGTAACCACCTTACAAAAGAAGACTGCCTACTTAGGTGAGCCCTGCACAGCTATGCCCTGTTCACACGGTGCTATTTAAAGTTAGAGGAAACTTGAGTCTGAATTGCATGTCTTAGATATGTAGAAATATAGTAGATGTATTGCGCAAAGCATAAAGAGTGAAAATGAAATTTGAACCTCAAAGTCGCGCTCACATTTTAATCGAAACACACGGCTTTGGTGTGTAGCTCTACTTGTTATTGCAAGAAGAAATGAGCAGGCCTAGGTTACAGTATAGCCATGCTGCTGTGGCTTTAGTATCTTCATGTGAGCTGTAGTTTTCTTCAGTGCCCACAAAGCAATTGTAATTTTGTTGAAATAATTAGGGTTCAGTTTGTTATGGCAACGGCCACAGTGGATAATAATGTGTCTAAAAATTATTAATAGAGTTGGATAAAAAAGCAACATTTGCAATTTAGATATTGCTAAGGGCTGATGGTAACATTACAATAATAAAACAAGAACTATAATTAAGTAGCAAAATCTTTGTTCCAGTACTTCTTGTTTTATTTATAGTATTTTTTGGGGCATTTCCTTGATTTTGGACGGGATAAAGTTACTGAATATAGCTTGATTTTCACTCGAATAAAAATGAACATAATGTCCAACGATTTTCAGCAATGAAAACTGTGGAATGTGCTCAATATAAATGAGATAAATATCTTTTTATTTTTTTGTATAGCTGCAGACGAGAGCATGAAAGACATGTCAGAGCCTACAGGTTCCCCTGCCCCGGTGATTCAGCACAGCTCTTTGGCGCCTAGCCCTTCTACGGGGCAAAACGGCCTGAGCTCAAGGGCAGCAGCTGAGGCTATGGCCATGTCAGTGCTGGCAGGAATGGGCCAGCAGCAGAGAGCTGAGAGCGGACCCTCTCACATTATCATGGCTGCACAGTCTCAATCTGCTGCCAGATGATGAGCGATGCCACCAAGGCCCACACTTGGCTCATCACCCAGGGTAGAAAAGACTCCCACCTCCCAGGTTCCCTCATTTTTAAATTCAGAATTTCACATCTTCTCCTCTGCCTCCCCTCCCCTCTGTGGTCTTTCTAACCCTCCTGGGGAGCCATCTTGCTGGGGCCTGGAGCTCATCAGCAGCCTTCTGGGAAAGGACTGAGACTTTTAAGAGAGCTTCCTGTTAACTTTGCCATAGACTACAGGGGCTGGACTCCAATACCCCCTCCCCCCTGTTTCCTCCTGTGCGTCCCTACTCAGCTGTCCTCACCCTCAGTAATAAGGACTCTTCACTGGACTGTAGGACTGCATCAAGTATACTGCCATAACGATCTTCCCACGTGAACACGTGCCGCACAGGTGTTTCGTAAACTTTTTTTTTTGTGTGTGTGTGAATCAAATCCGATATTAAACAGCACACAGGGCTCTACACTTTTTCCAGCAGGGAACAGTGCCTTGCTCTCCTCGTCACTTTAGCCTTGCACGCACACCCACACATGCCATCACAGAATGCCTCCCTATACATCCTCAGCTCCAAAGATGCGATAGTCGTCTAGAATTCTCTGACTCACATCTCAATTATTCACTCAGACCTTTAGTAAATGGTTCTCAGCCTCAACACGATCTCAACCTAGACCCAAAAACCTTACCTCATGTACACCCCTTTATGATAAAGTGTATTAACTGTGTGTGTGTGATTGTATATTTATGTACATCAGAACATAGCAGTTTGCCTACTCCTGATCTGATGCATTATTAGCTAGATTGTTAGCATGTGACTTTTCTAATAGGGTGTTATGTTTTTGATACAGTATGTGCAGCTATATTTCTTTTAACTAATTGGCGCGTCCTCCCAGATTGACCCATGTAACCAAAATTATGTTAGATTGCGATTTAAAAATAAGTTTGTTGGAGCAGATTTTTTTTTCTGACCTGAAGGGAATTGAACTTTTTCCACCTTTTCATATTTCCTGAAACAGGCAGGTGGCTTATTGGTATGTAAATGGATGCCTTTTTCCATTTTTACATGTAACTGTTCTGGTGACTGTGTTTTCTCCGTGTGTGGGCCCTGCTGGACTTACTGTGTAACTGTTATTTTCACACTTTTTCAGGATGGTTGCACATCCTTTGCTGCTCGTTTGAAAATGCGATGAACCCCTTGTTCTGTATGCTCTCTACCAAACCGAAACTAAGCCATAACGGATCTCTCCAAAGACTATCTGGTACTTGTCCTGGGACAGAAGTGAATACCCTGACTGTTATTTTGTGATTCAGAGGTTGCAGTGGCACTATGACAGTATATCACTGCTTGTAACTTGCACTTACACACAGTCTTTCACACAGTGTTTGATCATTTTGCCTTAAGATCACATTTGTGCCTCCGATACCCCCCCCTTCACATAAATATATACAGATTTGCTTGTATGGGGGCAAAAAAACGTCTCTAGAGAAATATATTAGTCAGTGTATATAAATTGGGAAAAAATGAAAATCAATAAATATAACATTTAATTAATAAACAAAGCTTTTTGAGGCCTTTAAGTAAATAAAAAGTGTCTTTTTAGAATATTGATAAAATATTGAAGTACTTGTCTGTCATCTGGTGGAGAGACGGAGCAAAGACATCTCCAGTGGTCAGAGCTTTAAGGGCAGAAGACGAGCTGTCTTGTGACTGTTTCTGAAAGGCTCCAGTTCTTTTACAATATCCCCCAGATGTTTTATCCAGATATTGATATATTTTTACATGAATGCTCAAAGTGGTTTGCTTTTTTCCCTCTTTTGCCCTTTTTCTTAATATTTTCGCGAGATATATTTCAAAAACAGGATATGACTTATTAACAAAAGGACATTTATGCACTAAAGTAATGCAGGTTAATGCAGGTTAAGTAATGCTTTGTATTTCTGTTCAATTTACATTTTTTTTCAGAGATATCAGAATGTTTTTTTGTTTTTTCTTTAATGGTTTTCTGTTATCTGTACTGTATACACAAATGGGAATTTGCTGAGCAACTTTAATACCTTTTCCCTTTTGACTGAATCTCTCCTCCTGCAGTCTCAATGGCGACCCAGGCAATTTGTGTAATTTGCTGGCAGTCAAATAGACGATTGTTCATTTGAAATGAAAATTCAAACTGCATTTAGCTTTTATGTTTTCTTGTATTCTTTTGTTGCGTGCTGTCTTTAGCACCACACGCTCTTCATCATAACGCTTCTGATTGCGCTGATGAATATAGAGACTAATTTCTTTAACACAACGATTTGTGTTTTTGTTGGTTTGTTTTCTCAACAGAAAAATTGACTTGTGCTTTGTTCTTTTTTCTTTTTTTTAAAAGAAATTTTACCCCCTCTTTTTCTTTTCTTCTTTTTTTTTAATACCTTTTAACAATCGGTCGTGTCTTTTGAGCTTCGTTGTCTAACTTATTGTTTTAATTGGTCAAATAACAATAATCTTTACAGTCTTTGGCCTGTTAACGATGGGCCAGACTTGTTCTAAACATAGCAATTTAGTGGGAAATACAGTAATGTGAAAATTACACATAGTGTATTGATGGTTTTTCACACTCCCTTTGTTGGACTGATGATTTCTAAAATTGTCCTTGTATTGTACATATCTGTACTATATGAATATATTTACTTTTCCATGCATGTCCAAGAGGAATACCATGAACACTTACAGTGCTGCAGTTTTAATTAAAGAAACTACATCATAATGAACATTTATACTGTTTTATCTGCGTTCAGTTATCATATCAAAAACATGTTTTCTATTGTAATGTAATTATTAATATGAATGATTAAAGTGGAGACTTAGTTTGATTAAAAAAGAGATATGAAAGGAAATGATGTATACAAAGGCATTGAATAATACTCTGTCAAGTACTTCTACAATATTGTCCAAAGATTTTGAGCCCCTCCTCACTTTTTAAATATTGTGCTTGGAAAATAGGAAATTGATGCATGGATTTATTGAAGCATGCAAACATATGTGGATCTTTAAGGCAAAACAACAACAGTTTGTACAATTCTAATGAGCTTGAAAGTCAATATTTGGTATGACCACGTTGTGAACTCTGCGACATAAGATTCCCCGTTATTTCTTTAAATAATCTTCAGTATTAATTCTCCAGGCTTCCTGAAGGACATTCAAAGCTCTTCTTTGGCTGATAGCTGTCTTTAGATGATCCCACACTGCTTCAATAATGTTGAGGTCTGGACTCCGAGGAAGCCAATCCATGACTGACAGTTTCAGTTCAGTTTCAGTTTTCAGTTTTATTTGTCATATGCAAGTTAGCACAGGGTCAACATGGCAATGAAATGTGTTTGACGAGCAGCAGTCACTCAGCAGCATGGTACAGTAGGAGAAAATAAAATTAAATAATAAAAAATAGAAAAATAGTAAGGAGCAAAATATTAGAGAGACATGGTAAAAGAGAAAAGATGACTAAATATATATGTATCTATAAATATAAATATATGTACACTAGTGATTAAATAAGAAAATCTTGAAAAGAAATATGACGGGGGTGCAGATGGGATATTGCACAGGAATGAGCAGCAGAAAATCACAGTATTGCACTTTTAAATATAAATATCAATAACAATAAAGTGGAGTGACCAGTGCAGATTAAACAGAGTACTTGTGAAGCTGCAGGGTAGCTTCTGAGTGCTGTGTTGTGTGTGTTTAAGTGTTGTGGTTGAGGTGTGTTGACAGTGTCTCACATTGTCCTTTCTTAAGCATGTCTTCTTGACACTGAAACTATTTCTGATGAGGCTTCAGAAAAACTGTTTTAAGAACATGAATTTCAGACTCTTTCATATGTATTAGATATTTTTTAGGCCGACCGTGTCTACCGATCTACTTTTGTCCTTTACTTGTCCATACCAAAATACACTAGTGTGCAAAAGTGTTTACCCCCTTCCTAATTTCTTACTTTGTATGTTTGTCACGCTTAAATGTTTCAGATCATCAAACAGATTTAAATATTAGACAAAGATAACACAATTAAACACAAAATGCAGTTTCTAAATGAAGGTGTTTATTATTAAGGGGAAAATAAAATCCAAACCTGCATGGCCCTGTGTGAAAAGGTGATTGCCCCCTGAACCTAATAACTGGTTGGGTCACCCAGTGTACAATCAAGAATTTGCGACAACTGGCAATGGGTTCGCTCATCTTTGCACAATTGTTGTAATTCAGCCATGTGGGAGGAATTTCAAGAGTGAACCAACTTTGTAAGGTCATGCTACAGCATCTCAATCGGATTCAGGTCAGGACTTTGACGAGGCCATGTCGTTTTGCTTAAGCCATTCAGAGGTGGATTTGCTGGTGTGTTGTGGATCACTGTCCTGCTGTAGAACCCACGTGCGCTTCAGCTTGAGGTAATGAACAGGTGGCCTGACGTTCTCCTTCAGGATGTTTTGGTAGACTTCAGTTTTCAGGCCCCTCTTCTGTGGAACCAGCTTCCAGTTTGGATTTGGGAGACAGACACTATCTCTACTTTTAAGATTAGGCTTAAAACTTTCCTTTTTGCTAAAGCATATAGTTAGGGCTGGACCAGGTGACCCTGAATCCTCCCTTAGTTATGCTGCAATAGACGTAGGCTGCCGGGGGATTCCCATGATGCATTGAGTTTTTCCTTTCCAGTCACCTTTCTCACTCACTATGTATTAACAGACCTCTCTGCATTGAATCATATCTGTTATTAACCTCTGTCTCTCTTCCACAGCATGTCTTTATCCTGTCTTCCTTCTCTCACCCCAACCAATCGCAGCAGATGGCCGCCCCTCCCTGAGCCTGGTTCTGCCGGAGGTTTCTTCCTGTTAAAAGGGAGTTTTTCCTTCCCACTGTCGCCAAAGTGCTTGCTCATAGGGCTCATATGATTGTTGGGTTTTTCTCTGTATCTATGAAGCGCCTTGAGGCGACTTTTGTTGTGATTTGGCGCTATATAAATAAAATTGAATTGAATTGAATAGACAGCAGAATTCATAGTTCCATTTACCACAGCAAGTCCTCCAAGTCCAGAGGCAGCAAAACAGCCCCAGACCATCACACTACCACCACCACCCTCTTTTACTGCTGGTATGATGTTCCTTTTCTGAAACACTGTGTTAGTTTAATACGAGACCACAAAGTATTTCCCCAAAAGTCTTGGGAATCATCAAGGTGTTTTTTTGGCAAATGTGAGACAAGTCTTTACGCTCTCTTTAGTCAGTAGTGGTTTCCTCCTTGAACTCTCATGGATGCCATTTTTGTTCAGTCTCTTTCTTATTATTGAATCATGAACTCTGACCTTAACTGACACATGTGAAGAATCCGGTTCTTTAATGCTGTTCTGGTTTCTTTTGTGACCTGCTGTTGCTGTGCTCGTGGAGTAATTTTGGTTGGTGCAAACATATGTTTTATTCGTCAGCTAGATATAAAAGGCTGATGGAGTATTGTCCGCCTGCCAGGCTAGCAGGTGGACGGGCGGCATGGACATCCAAGTTTGTGAATGCGATAACTCAAGAACGAGGGGATGTAAGATTTTGAAATTCATACCATGGATTAATCTGCTAAAAATCTTAGTGACCTCGATTTCAAGGTCAAGTGTTTCTCAAAATATAGTGAATGTGATAACTCAAGAAGGAACAAACAAACAAAAATAATGAAACATTTTCTTCTGAAATGCTCAGGTACAAGGACTGGACTAAAAAAACAGTAAATGTTTAAACCATCCTGTGACATTTACAGTCCATATACTTAGACATTTAGCTCAAAATCCAAATGGTTAAAGAATTATAACTACCTGTGACATTACGGGCGTGTGAAGGGGTTCTTGTTGGCCTAGAAAATGCTCGCTGTGGCCCTGCTTTTAAGCTGTGTTTTGCTGTCCAGTAATCCAGTATTTTTGGAAATGCAGAGTGACAGCAGTCTGCAATTAAGTTGTTATGTTCAGTTTGCTTTGAAGCTTGTTTTCCTCGCAAGACAATGTCCATGTTTCCTAGAAGAAGAAAAAAACATTAACATTAACTTTTTGGAGAAGTCCTAAACTGCTGCGGGAGTGGCTGAAGGGAATATTTATTTTTAGCGTGGTTACAGTGAAGATGCCACACTGATGATCGTAAGTGCTCAAGGTCACTTTATGAGCTTATGCAGAAGCAGTTTTCAGCACTGCAACTGTGTGTTACATGAACTTTGCAAAGACTGACTAAAAGTCAAATTCTTCTCAACTCATGTCAGAGCCAGAGAAATGTGCTGTGGCTTTTTCAAACATCTGACTCTCTGCATTATATAGGCCTGTGTGGCACTTCCTGTTTGTTCTTTACAAGAACAGAAAAAACCCTCCAGTAATTTCTTAACAGGAAATTACTAGGCAATGTTATAAATTATTAATATCATACCTTTGCATATTTGTCACACCTACATGTTTCACCCAAGTTTGTCCCTAAACATAATAACTGGTTATTAATAATTAATAATTGGCCACCTTTGGCAGCAAGAACTGCAATCAAGCATTTCTCATAACTAGCACAGAGTCTTTCACTCTGCTGTTGAGCAATTGTTTTAATTCAACCACACCGAATGTTTTTTGAGAATTAACAGCCGGTTTAAGGTCATGCCAAAACAACACATTGTGATCTAAGCATGGACTTTCACTAGGCCACAACAAAACTTTCATTTCGTTATTGTTGTTGTTTTTTTTACCCATTCAGAAATGTGGTTTTGTGGTAGCAGAATTCATGTATCCATCACCAAGGGCAAGTCGTTTTCAAGCAACTAAGCATCAAATTCTGACCTTAACTGAGGCAAATGAGCCCTGCAGTTCTTTAGATGCTGTTCTGTGTTCTTTTGTGATCTCCTAGATGAATCTCGAGCCTTGGAGTATTTTTGGTAGGCCGGCCACTCCCGGGAAGGTTTACCCCTGTTCCATGTTTTCTCCATAAGTGGCTAATGGCTCTCACCGTGGATCACTGGAGTCCCAAAGCCTTAGAAAAGCCTTTTAATTCATGATTTAACAAAGGGGGTAGTTACTTTTTTACGCAGGTTTGATTGCTAAACATAATCAATACTTAAAAAATGCATTTTGCATTTACTCAGGTTATGTTTGTCTAATATCAAAGTTTGTTTGATGATCCAAAGCATTTAAGTGTGACACATATACACTACTTCTGGTCTCCAGCAAAGTTTCTCTCCCTGATCTCACTGGAAATTGACTATCGTTGCACGTCTGTAGTGTAAATCGGCCATTAAGTTATCTTCTGAGTCCCAGAAAGCTGCTAACAGCAGGAATCAGATGCTGCACCAGTTTCAGTTTTTGTGGTTTATATATATATATATATATTTTTAGTAAGTCGAATACGTTTTAATTGATTTATACATGCACAGTTAAGTAAATGATCACACAAAACATGTGCATTTCGTGCGTGAAACCTGTATTTCTCCCCCAAAAACCTTCAGTCATCTTTATAAAGAAGTTTTAATCTTTTCTTTTAACCCTCTTGAACTCAATGAAGGGCGGGGACTCTGTGTCCGTGTCTCTCTGTGTGTGTCTGTTCGCCACTGAAACGCCAGGGGGAGCAGCGGTGTCGGTGAGACCCTCACCTCCTTCACCTCCACCTCCTCCTCCCTTCTCGGATGCGGCGAATCAACACACGCAGGCGAGGTAAATGCAGTCACGTGACCGCCCGTTGCCGTTGGTGAGTTTTCCCCATTATGGCGGAAGGGCCAGCCGTGCGGATGGACTGTCTCTTCCACTCCGGTGCTTGTTTTGTGTCTTGAGGGAGGGGTTTTGTTTTTATTTTTTTTAACGTTTCCCCGCAACAGCCCGGTTTCTTTTCAACTAGACGCCACTCGAGTTTATCGGCGAAGCCATGGCGGACCGCGGCGTGGATTTGTCCGCCCTGCCTAAAGAGGTTAGAGACCAGTTGGCTGAGTTGGATCTGGAGCTGTCTGAAGGTAAAGGAGGGGCGGGGGGCTGATGGGGGGGGATGCTGTAGCAGATTGTCAGGTTAGCTGTGTATGTCTCAGCTGTCTGGGCTGACCTGCATAGGTTATAGCAGAGGTTCATCCTCACCGTCTACTTTTCCTTTATGAAAAATTTGAATGAGAGCATGCTTCGGGCTCTCAGGCTCTGCCACCTAGCTTATTTTGTGCTAGTACAGGATGTGGGCATATGAGCTAGCAGTGCATGGCAAGCAGCATTGTACATGAGGAAGAGAAAGGCTTCCATCCATTTCCCCTTGTTTCTGTTTATTTTGTTATATTCCTCTTTTTCTCGAAGCTCATTTAAAGCTGAAGGTTGATTAACAAGATCAGAAATCCTCTCGTTTGCTGTGTGAATGTGTGTCTTTAAACACCACTGTGTGTGTGTGTGTGTGTGTGTGTAGCTTGGTTGAAAGGCGTTCAGGGCTGTACCCCTTTTCTTGTTATCTAGTTGTACTTCTTCATATTGTATTGATTTTATTCAGCTGTAACCACATGGCTCCCAGTTAGACGTAATTGAAACCTCAACTTTCATCTGGGAAAAAAAATCCGGCTAATTGCTATAAAAGTGTGAGTCACTGTGAGTGGTGTTGAAATCAGATGAGCAGGCCTGTAGTCATCATCCGCTCGTGGTGTCATATGAAGATACAGTCTGTCATGTATGACTGCCCGTAGTTACCACACGTAGTTTGTGACCTCAGTGATATTCACCGAAGTGATAACGTAGAGTTTGCCGAGCCTTGCACACCTGTGCAGCCCTGTTATTACTGGAATCATGGGTTTACCTACCTACGCTCCTCCTCATATACTACACTGCCCTGTGCCTGTGGTCACAGTGATGTGAGGCTTGTTGTCACGTGTATACACCCCAATATTGGGACCATTCATTTATCCAAAGCAGGGCTGATATCAACCCCTCCCCCAGAGCAGCTGCTTGCCCCACTACCCCACCAATGACACACTGTCACACATCCGTGACAGTACCCCCTCCTTTTCCCCTGCTTTGTGGCCCCCATACATGCAGCTAAATCTAATCCTCCTGTGCAGTGACCCCTCTAGTTATCCACAGCGTCCATAGCATTTTGTTATCGTTTTTTCTAAATATAGCATCATGTATAGCTACCCTCCTATAATTGGTTATGCATGCGTTTTGATGTAAATACATGATGATTTCATATCTGGGAGTAATAAAGACTTAAAAAGGGGGTTATGACACTGTGTAAAAAGATACTGACTGCAATAAAAATACCAAAGTGTTCGATCAGAGTATAATAATGATATTAGTCCATTACTCAAAGGTGTTTTCAGCTGTAGATTTAAAAAGGATTTAGTGTGCCGACCTGACCTGCTGATGAATCTCAGCAGTTGTTCTGTTTTGGTTACTGTAGCCCTTTAAAACATTAGTGGTATATACAGTACATCCACTCCATGGAGGCAGGAGACGATCACTGGGCGAGAGGCTGGGTACAACCTGTATGTGGAAATGTCTCATTAGTCTCGCAGTGATATGTCACATTTTTAAACAACACGCCATTAAAGGAAGTGAAGTTGTCTTTAATAGCGCGTTCAAAATTAGATGGAGGGCTGTGAGTACTACTTTCACGTTAACAGATTAAAACATCCATATATAGTAAAACGCAATGCAGTTATGTGGACTAAACATGCCGGGCCTCTGTAGGTTAGCACGAGCTCTCGTTGCACCACAGCGATGAAACGCGACTAGAGGGACTCTTGTTGGAAGGGAGTCATTTTGGGTCAACACCTTTAGATGCCCCAGGGGGAGACTGAGGTCTATAAGATCACTATGTTATATTAGATGACAGGTTATTTAAGAAAGGTTTGCCAATTATTCCTTCATCTTTATGCTCATTTTCTATAAATGGACACATGGTACAAAAATTAACACAAGCAGGTTTGGCGAATTACAGGCTGATTTTCATCTGCCCTCTCTGGTTCCTTGGTAGCATTTATATAAACAACAAAAGTATAGATAAGAACCAGATACATCAGACAGATAAAACAAAGACATAACATAATATTAAACAAGCGTTAAAATCTCAGGGTGTATTGTGGGTTAAATTTGTTTGTTGTTTTGCATCATTTCTACTTCCAATACATTCTTTGATATAGCAAATTACACTGATATTTATGACTTTAAGAGTAAAAATGCAAATATACGTACATGTTTTAGAGTTATTTCTGATTATTTACCGGAATCGGAACTTGCTTGTGGTTAATCTTTGTGGTTAACAGCATGTCACCATTATTTTTGGTCTGTTACGCACTTGCACAGTAACGCACTTCTTGCAAAGAGGAACTGCTTTTAAAACTCTGCATTTCTGTTGTTGTTGACGAGCGCCCGTCAGAAACACGAGGTTCAAAAACCGGTTGGTACAAGAAGCGGGCAAATTCCCAGTATTCTGGTGTTGACACTTAGACTTCAACACATGCACATGTGACATCATGGCTTATGAATGCAATGCTTTTTAAATTCTAGCTGCGAGACACTGAGTGTAGTGGAAAGAGTGGGTTGGGGGCGGTGGTATAAAGTCCGTTTCACGTCCATGTATGTATACGTCTATTAGTCCCTTTGTGACTGGATGCGTGCCTCATAGGCTGTCTTTCTTGAGTCCATAACAAGCCCTCATCTGAAGCAAGTGGAAATGCTTGTTCCTGTGTTGCTCGGATAAGAACACTGGCGTGCCAAATGGCCTCTTAAAAAACAACTCATTTCTGCGAGCCCCCTGTGACTGTGGTGGACACAATGAGGACCATTCAGCTGGTCTAAGCCGCTGTGGCCAGGAGCTTCTGCTGCCATTTAGGCCATTCAGCTGAACCCGATCTTTGTGTGTACGTTGGAATGAGCCGCCTCCATATGAAGAGAAGGGAACGGCCGCTGACTGGTCATACACACAAGAAGATGACACACAGTGTGTATTTCCACTGGGAGTGCACGCCCTCCCGTCTCTCTACTGGGCCAGAGGTAAAAGTTCATGTCTTGTTCATCCCTGTGTCCAGCCTACCTGCTTTATATCACCTTCCGTCTGTCAAGTTTGCTTGAGAGAAATCGCTGACCCAAGCAAAATTCTGCACAGATGAGTTCCAGTTTGTCGGCTAATGCTGATGCTCCGTGCCGAGGTGCTGTTTTGACATTGCAATACAACTGGAAATGATTGGCAGTTCCTCCCAATCTGCTTCTGAGCGCTTTCTAGTGCATGGAGTGCACTTGTTGATATGTGTGTGGGGTCGCTGTCTGTTTGCATCTCTGATCAGTATGCAAAGAGTCTTCTTTTCTGGGCCAATCCTTCAGATGTAGCAGAAGTAGGCTGTGTTCATTTGTGTATGAAGGAGAGAAGGCCCTCAGCAGAGCATGTCAGCACTAATATGGACTAAGCCTTTCTTAGCTACCTGCTTTCCTGACCTTAGTCATCAGTGACAGCATGTAGGGCGAAGTCTGATGAATCGTCAAGGAGGACTCTCCTCCCACCCTTTAAACGCTTTCATTTTTACCTCGGTCCAGCGCTCTTTGAATGACTGTAACTCCATTACCATTTTTGCTAGAGACAAAATTCAGACAGTTCCGGTAAGAGGAGAAGGCGAGCTTTACGGGGATATTTGGTGTATCACCGTAGCACAAAGCATTCACAACGTAACGCTGTCTGAACACAGAAAAATCAGCTCCGCCTAGATTTGACAGTGTGGGCTTCATGTTACCTGAACTACTCAACCATTTTTGGGCTAGATGCAAAAATTCTCTAAATTCCTGAAAGATGAGAATTATTTTGTAATTTTATAGTCAAAATGAAAAAATATTTCCAGCTGTTCTGTACGATATTTAGGTCATAAAGGTTTTCACAATGTCTCTGAGCTGTTTTTATTATTTATCAGTGTGTTAAACAGCAAACAGTTGTTTTTGTTACACAGTCAAAACGGTGCTAAATTTAAGGCAGACTGGAGACATGTGATGGACACTTCCTCAAACAGAAGAACATGTGTTGCAGTGCGTGCGTTTTTAAGGTGCCTTTTGCTCTGGTGTAAAATGAGGAATAAGAGGCGCCTTACACTGACTGGAAAGATGAAATCTTTACCCAGATTTCATTTCTCAACTTCTTACTCTAATAGGCGTCTTACTACATGCTTCTTACAGACGTTCCAATGATCTCTTGCAAATAGCAGGTGGAAATGCGGTAAAATTGATATCGTAAAGCATTCGCAGCATGATGTCATCAGTATTTTACTTTCAGCCCCAATACTTTGATTTTGTTTGTCTTTATTGTGAGTTTGATTATCTAGATTAAACCGAGGGAGAGAGGAGGTAATGACATGCGACAAATCTCCCCATCAACTCAGCTAATGGAGTCATTTTTTTCAACTTCATTTATGGAAGTGTATGACATGTATTTAAAAGCTGTGTTTATCCCATCGAGTGAAATGGTTTAGTCTTGTTTTATTTGCATACATGTGTAAAAATCAGAACCAGTACGGCGTTTGCGCTCACTACAAACGTTTGTCAGAACAGAATTGGAGGGGAGAAGGTTTTCTTTTCTTTCCTCTAACCCCTTTTTTGTGGAATAATCTACAGAAAGAGCTGAAATTGTTAGAAGTGTGGGGGAGTTTATGTCCATTTTAAAGGATCGAGAAAATGTCTCTCTTCAGTGTGAGTGTGATTTGTTTTGATGCTCTTGTTCTTGATATGTTATTGCGTATGATCCGAGTCCATGTTACTGTTTGTGTTCTGTACTGAATATCACTTGTACTCATTTCTTATATTTACATTTGATGCGGTTTCTGCTCCCCTCTTGGACGCATCTCTCTTGAAAAGGAGATTTGTTTTCAATCTTGATGAGATTTCCCATCTGCTTTAATAAAGGGCATATTATATAGAACAGAATGGTAACATTTCTTGTATCACTGACAGATTTTGTTTAACAGAGCCTGGTCAAATTTAGCTTATTTTGTTGTGGAAACCTCCT